GAGATGATTGTACAACTTTGTAAATAGAATTTAAAATGCTGAATTATTTACTTTAATGGATGAATTACATGGTATATGAATTACATCTGAAAAACAGTCCTGAAAATGAATTTTATTTTGCCATATCAATATCCAGTTTGGGCTACAGTCCTTAAACACTACCGCATAAAAACCTGCACTGAATTGATCTTTTTTTCATACCATTTGCTGCCTGAGGTAGGGTCTAAATCAAGGCAGGTTGAGTATCCCTTATCTGAAATGCTTGGGGCCAGAAGTGTTTTGGATTTTGGAATTTTTCTGATTTTGAAATGCTTGCACATATATAATGAAATATCTTGGGGATGGCCCAAGTCTATCATGAAATTCATTTATGTTTCATAAATACCTCATACACATCACCTGAAGGTGATTTTAAATAATATTTTTAATCATATATGCTACACACTGCATGAGGTCAGGTGTGGAATTTTCCACTTGTGTTATGCCAGTGCTCAAAAGGTTTTAGGTTTGGGGACATTTTGCATTTCTGGTGTTAAGATTAGGGTTGCTCAGCCTGGATCTCCATTGCTTAGCACACAGCTCCTGATATTTTGTATCCACTTTGTAGTTACTCGGATATTCACTGAACAGAAATGACAGCAGTCTTGCAATTCCTTTAAAGGGAGAAAAGTTAGCTGGTAGTTATTATCTTCAAGACCCAGTGCTTCCTCTACCCTCCATCCTTTGCCCATGCTAGATACATATTATAAATAGTATCTGCTTTACTACTTACAAAGCATTCTCTAATACCTTAACTTGGGGTTCCCCAACCCTTGGGAACCCCGTTAGGAACCAAAACACACAGCGGGAGGTGAGTGGTGGGCAAGCTCTATTTGTATTTACAGCCAGTCTCCATCACTTGAATTACTGCCTGAGCTCCGCCTCCTGTCAGATCAGCATGGGCATTAGATCCTTATAGGAGTGCAATCCCTATTTGAACTGCATATTTGAGGAATCTAGGTTGCAGGCTTTTCATGAGAATCTAATGCCTGATCTATCACTGTCTCCCATCACCCCCAGAGGGACTGTCTAGTTGCAGGAAAATAATCTCAGGGCTCCCACTGATTCTACATTATGGTAAGTTGTATAATTCTTTCATTATATATTATAATGTATAATTATTTAATTATTACAATGTAATAATGACAAATAAAGTGCACAATAAATATAATGTGCAGCCGGGCATGGTGGCTTATGCCTTGGGAGGCCAAGGTGAGTGGATCACAAGGTCAGGAGTTCAAGACCAGCCTGGCCAAGATGGTGAAACCCTATCTCTACTAAAAATACAAAAATTAGCCAGGTGTGGTGGCAGGCGCCTGTAGTCCCAGCTACTTGGGAGGCTGAGGCAGGAGAATAATTTGAGCCTGGGGGGTGGTAGTTGCAGTGAGCCAAGACCGTGCCACTGCACTCCAGCCTGGATAAAAAAAAAAAAAATGTAATGTGCTTGAGTCATCCTGTAACCATTGTCCCCGGGCCCCCCATCCATGGAAAAATTGTCTTCCACCAAACCTGGTCCTGTTGCCAAAAAGGTTGGGGACCACTGCCTTTAAATTTTAACTCATTTAAATCTGAAAGCAATTGTGTAAGGTTAAGCTACTTTACAGAGAAGGAAGCTGACTCAGAAAGTTTAAATCACTCAGTCACACTGGGACATTGCCAGAGTTGAAAGCCAAGGCCTTGCTGCTATACTATGCAGCCCTTCATGTCCGCACACCTGTAATGAGGTCCCTAACTACTGCCTGCATGCCTGAATCACAGCGAAGGCCACCACAAGGTGGTTTACAGGACTTGGAGTTTGTGTCATTTCAAGTTCAAGGAGAAATTATCCTTTTGGATGCCCATTGTACTGTACTAGGAGTCCTACAGGCATGAAATAAAGTCGGCAGGCAGTTTTAATCCATTACTGTTGTTTTGTTGCAAACAGATCTCCGAAGGTAAGACAAATATATTGTTATGATCAGATGCTGGTTCATGCCGTACCCATGATTTTATTCATTTTGTTCTGAGGAAATGAGTTGTAGGCCCATTTGCTTCCTATCCCCTGTGGCTGAGCTAGTTCAGCTGCATAGCAGTGAGAGAAATTCAGTTCTGCACACATTTATTGATGTGTATGTTCCCCGTGCCAGGCATTGCACAAGCAGCTAGGGATACAGAGATAAATAAGTCCCAGTCCTTGTTCTCCGAGAGCCTAGAGTATTTTCTAGGTCCTTTAATCATGGCATGCAATTGTTCTTTTATGGGGTGGATTTGGATTGTAAAATACAATCCTTGATATTTCAGGATGGTAAATCCTTCTCTCAGAAAGTGACTCTAAAATCGAGGAACTTTTTGTTTGTGGAATGTATAGAAAGAAGGAATGACACAAATGTTTTGAACTCAACAGTTTTAGAAACTGATCTTTCACTTCAGGGCCAGCCTTGTTAGAGTCAGAATTTGATGACATTTCATCCCTTCAAGATCAGTGGAATCCATTTTTATATGCATAAGGATTTACACAGTTGAAACTTAACCACCACTCCATTCACATTTGTCAAGTCATCATCTGTGTATCCCATGAATTTGTTTTACAATGCTAGAAAGTAATATGCCAACATTATAGAAGTGAGGGAAATGGAGGGAAATTATAGAGTAAAATCATCACCTAAAACGTCACTACCCTAATACCGAGAGGCAGTTGGACCTGGGGCAGATTATCTTTGTACCTCCATCTTCTCATCTGTAAAATTGAGAATAATAGTATCTACTTTATGGAGCTTTGCCATGACCAAATGAGATAGCAAATTAAAGCACACATGCAAAAACATGCAATAAATGTGTATTTTATTAGAGCAAAAATAAGCATTTTTATATAGTCCCTTGATCCTGGTTTTCTCATTTCTTACAAAGTTTGTTTTTTGCTTTGTTTTGGTATGCTTTAAAAAAATTATATAGAGACAGGATCTCACTATGTTGCCCAGGCTGGACTCAAACTCCTGTCCCCTGGCCTTCGCCTCCCAAAGTGCTAGGACTACAGATGTGAGACATCATGCCCAGCCTGTTATACTTCTGTATGTTTGTTTCTTACTGCACATTACTAAATGATCACTTTCCATCTTACTGTGTGTGATTACTGTTCCATGATAGTAACAGTATGCCATCATAGTGCATCCATTCCCCCATTGTTGGACATTTGGGTTGCTTTCAGTATCATAAATAGTGCTTCCGTGAGCAATTTTATATATGTAGTGTATTTTTACTTCCTGGGAAACCTTAAGCAGGTTTTTAAATCTCTGTCTTTGTTGACTTGTATGTGGATGGGGATAGAATCCTATCTACCTGCAAGGAGGGCTATATGGGTTAAGTGAAGCAATATCACAAAGCACTTGGCACAGTGGCTGGTATTTACCAGATGCTCAGTAAACATTACCTCTGTGTTTTTGGCTTATTTCTTTAGGCCTGCTCCAGAGATGGGGTTTCTTGCTTCAGTGCTTTCCAGAAGAATTTTAGCAGTTTATGCTGTCAACAGCAATATGTGAAAGGACTGATTTCTTGACCTCCTTATTAGCAGTGATTCTGGATTTTAACTATCTAACTCTCCCTTCAAAACAATTGTGAAAAAAAACAGGTTCATCCATATTTGAGCAGGTTGTTAGGACTGGGACTTGCTTCTGCTCACTCACCTGAATAGTCAGACCTGTTCACCAAGGTCAGGTTCTGGAGGCTCTTTGGAAGTCTTGTTTTTCTAAGCTTGCAGCCCCCAGTTGCATTCCACCAAATTGTAGTGTCAGTTGGTCCTCTGAAGCTTAAAACCCAGCATATGTTACTCCTTACTCAATGAAGTACACATTGTTGGTCATCTTTGTATTTTTGCTTTTTCTAAAACAAGCCAACAGTTTGCACTAGGAAAGTCCATTGTGGCAAGTAATGACCTCTATGATCCCTTTCCTTCTCCAGAAGAAAGAAATTGGCAAGGGTAACCATATGTCCTGGCTTGCTCAGTTTATACTTGTCTAGTGTAATTATTTATAGTGCTCCCTTCACCCTCAGAAGTGACCTAGTTTGGATGATAAATTATATTGTCATCCTAGCCCCAGGGGATTCCTCAGCAGCTGGGGTATCTGCCTACACTTGCCACCTCTCCACTCCCCCAACAACTTGCTCTCTGTCCAACAAAGGATTCCATAACATTGCTTTCACCACGATTGACTCAGAAGGTTCTGCGTTTGTCCAGACTCTTCTGATTTCATGTTAGCCCAGTAGGCATGTACTCAAATGTGTCCACTTTTATCATTCCTTTCTCCTTCATCTTGCTGACGATTATCAGTGGCATTGATAGGGCACTTTTCATTTGATTCAAAAATGCTTTTGTCCTTCAAAATTATTTGTTCTTCAGCTCAATTCATCCCATAGGCAAATGTAACATTTCTTATTTCTCCTCACTTGCAATTTAAGAAGTTATATCTGTTTACAATTTCATCTTAAATGCAAACGTCCTCTTATAGAACTTTTAAGCCTTATTTTGCCCTTGTAAAATATAAGATTAATTGTATTCATAAAGCTCCTCAACAGGTCAGCAATAAGGAAGCAATGGCAAGGACGAGTCTACGGTGGTAGTGCACAGCTCCTGTCTCCCTGATTGGCCACAGGCGGAGTTTAACCCGTAAGATGAGAGTTTGTAGGTACAGAAGCTTCAGCACTGGAAAAACTAAAACAAGTTAGCCACTCACTTGTGATTACCTTGTGTACCTAGGTAACTAATTTAAGTGGCATAAAGGGCTTTGTGATTTGAGAGACCCTCTTTTCCTCCAAACAAGTGCTCACATTTCTTGGGTAAAGTGTCCATGTTTTGAGGAGGAAAAACAAGGTTTTGGTGGTGGATCCTGCCAGAGTGAACCTATGCAGTGTCAGTGTGGGGACTGTCGTTCATAGGTCAGAGTGTGGATTCTAAATGGAAGATGTGTTTATCTCTTTGTTTTAACTAGGTGACTTTCGGATGCTGGTTGGAGAGGATAAAACAAAAGTGTTGAATATTGTGAAGCCCAATATAGCCCACTTTCGAGAGCTGTATGGCAGCATACTACAGGAGAATCCTCAAGTGGTGTATAAAAGCCAGCAAGGCCGGCTGGAGGTAAACTGTAGGTGGAAAATAAGCTTGCATTGTTTCTAAGACGAGCTCTTTGCAGGAAGAAAGTCAGGGGTAGAACAACATGACTAATGTTAGAATATTTATAGTTTAAAAAGTAAGTACTGTATGAAAACATATGGTTCTGTGTATCTGGAATAATGCTAAAAGGTAACAGAGACTAGTAATAAGAGGCTGCCTTTGGAGAAGGGAACTAGGGGCAGAAGTGGGAGAGGGACTTGTTTTCACCATGTGTCTTTCTTGCCATTGGAAATTCTTATGCCTGTTAATTACCAATCAAAACTGGTGAAAATAAACTTTTAGATCACTCTAATTCCATCCCCAGACCCATTTAGCTCCCAGAGGTAACTGTACTGACATTTTGGTGTCTATTATTTTTTTTTTGAGGGGGAGACAGGGTCTGACTCTGTCACCCAGGCTGGAGTGCACTGGCATGATCTTGGCTCACCGCAGCCTCAACACCCTCAGCCTCAGCACCCCCAGCCCAGCACTTTGGGAGGCCAATGTGGGCAGAGACAGGGCAACAGCCTATCTCTACAAAAAATACAAAATAATACAAAATTAGCTATGTCCCAGATACTTGGGGGAGGCTGAGGTGAGAGGATTGCTTGAGTCCATGAGTTATAGGCTACAGTGGGCCATGATTGTGCCATTGCACTCCAGCCTGGGCAACAGAGCAAGACCGTATCTCAAAATAAAAAATAATAATAAACAAATCAATCATCCCTTGGAGAAAAGTAATCTAGATTTAAGGTTTTTTGTTTTTGTTTTTTATCTATGAAAACCGCAGTTTTTTTTTTTTTCTTTAATGTAAAGAACACTGTATTTTCCTTCGTTTATGCTCTTCCCCATCCACATAATAGGGGCAACTAACATTGTAATGAGTAATAGATTAATGGAATTTCTAGAGCGAAAAAGGGAATTTAAAAAAATAGAAATTAGTGGCTAGGCGTGGTGGCTCACACCTGTAATCCCAGTGCTTTGGGAGGCCGAGGCGGGTGGATCACCTGAGGTAGGGAGTTTGAGACCAACCTGACCAACATGGAGAAACACTGTCTCCACTAAAAATACAAAATTAGCCAGGCATGGTGGTGCATGCCTGTAATCCCAGCTACTCAGACGGCTGAGGCAGGAGAATCACTTGAACCCAGGAGGCAGAGGTTGTGGTGAGCTGAGATTGCGCCAATGTACTCCAGCCTGGACAAGAGTGAAACTCCATCTCAAAAAAAAAAAAATTATGGAAATAGGAATTAGTTTTAAAATGAGAAAAGAATAGAGAGTGACATATGAAATTCGAGAATACCCACCACTCAGTTTAACAGATTTTGCCACATTTGGTTCAGGTTGAGGTTTTTTATTTTACACATACACGTGGTTTAAAAGCCAAATGGTACCTCAGGTTTATAATAAGAAGGGCAGTTCCCTGTGTATACCTTTCTACATTCTCAGCCTTACTTACCAGAGGCATCTGCTTTCATCTCTATAGCTGATTCTTCTGACATTCACTTCCGTGTTCTAAATAATATGCTTTGACTATTATTTCCTTATTTTTTTTCAATCTTACTCTTTATTTTTGCCATCCTGGAAAATGAGGATTTTTTTTTAACCATCTTACACTGCCTCATCAATTCACATACCAATACACACATTTACACACACACGCACTCAGCACACACATTCTCTTCCCCTCCTGCCTCATGTCCTCATGCTCACATAAAGGTGTTTCATAATTTTTGGTTAGGTTAGTATTCATTATTTACTATATTGTGACAGCTTTTTCTTTATGGATGAGCTGTGGTATTATGAAGTTCCCTTTCCCATATAACTTTGTTTATCCTGGAGTTAATAGTTGTCTTATTTTTTCAGTTGCTTAGGTCATTATTTCATCCTCAAACTCTGACAGATCTGTAAAACTTTTCCCATTATAGATAGATTATCAGTATTTTTTGTTTCTTATTTTTCATAGGAATGTTTTTCCTGGAAAACATTTCCCCTGCCCTGTTCTTTCTCGGCTGGTTGTTTTCTAGCTTGCTGCACAGCTGCAGTCCTCCACCTTCCTTTCATTATTGCCCTGAGAATTCCCTTTGCCTCCCCTATGCTAGTTTTTGGTTTTGTGGGTCTTGCATTTTCCTCTGCCATGGTTTACACTCTCATATTAGTGAAGTATGTCTTTTATTACCTTTTTAAAGGGTGTGGGGTAGTTAAATTTTTGAGACTGTATACCTCTGAAAATTCTACCTTCCCTTTGATTGATAGTGTTGGCTAGATATCAAATTCTAGGGTGGAAATAATTTTCCCTCTTTATTTATATGTTTTCCATTAATCAGGCACTTGCTAGGTTCGTTCATCCTCCTTCCCTCTCTTTCTCTCTCTCTCTCTCGCTCTTTCTCTTTTTTTTTTCTTTTCTTTCCTCTTTTTTGTTTTTGTGACAGGGCCTTGCTCAGTTGCCCAGGCAGAGTGCAGTGGCGCAGTCCCAGCTTCCTGCAACCTCAAACTCCCAAGCTCAAGCAACTCTCCCACCTCAACCTCTTGAGTAACTGGGACTACAGGCACGCACCACCATGCCTGACTGGTTTCTGTATTTTTAGTAGAAACGGGGTTTCACCATATTGCCCAGGCTGGTCGCAAACTCCTGGGCTCAAGCCATCCTCCTACCTTGGTCTTCCAAAGAATTGAGTTAACTCGTGTGAGTCACTGCACCCAGCCTCAGTGAGCCTTTTCTATCTGAAATTTTATAAGCTTCAATTCTAGGGAATTTTCTTTCATTATTTCTGTAATTATTTCTTCATACTCATTTTCTTAGTTTGTTCTTCCTGGGATTCCTCTTAGGCGGTTGCTAGATCTCCTGGTTTAACCTTTTATTCTCTCTCTCTCTCTCTCTCTCTCTCTCTCTCTCTCTGTCTCTCTCTCTCTCTCTCTCTCTCTCTGTCTCTCTCTCTCTCTCTCTCTCTCTTTCTCTCATCACTTTAGCTTTATGGGAGAATTTTTCTGATTGGTTTTCTAACACTTCTACTGAATATTTTTTCCAAATGTTCTTTTTTATAGCATTCTATTCTTGTATTATGGATGCATTATTTTCTCCTAATCTCTTGAATGATCTTTACTGTAACTTTTGAAGAGTTGGTCTTGCTGTCTCACATTGTTTCTTTCTCTTATAGTTCTTTTTGTTTGTTCATTTACTGTTGTCTGTTATGTTAGAAGCTTTTCTCAAATGTTTGAATTTCCTTCCTGGCCTGTTTTCTTAAATTAATTAACGAATTAATGAATTTGAGAGGGATTTCACTCTGTCACCTAGGCTGCAGTGTAGTGACATGATCATACATAGCTCACTGTAGCCTTAAACTCCTGCACTCAAGTGATCCTGCCACCTCAGCCTCCTGAGTACCTGAGACTACAGGCCCATGCCACTATGCCCAGCTGATTTTTTTGTATGTGTGTGTGTATCTATATCTATATATCTATATCTATATACATATTTGTACCCATATGATCTGAGTCATTACATTTTTTATTTTTTTGTAGAGACAGGGCCTCACTTTGTTGCCCTGGCTGGTCTCGAACTCCTAGGCTCAACTATCCTCCTTTCTTGGCTTCCCAAAGTATTGGGATTACAGGCAAGAGCCACCATGCCTGGCTCTGGCCTGTTTTTAAAGAATGAGGCACTAAAATGCCAACCAGAGATTCTTTGCAATATATCAGACTTATCAACTGGTGGGCTTGACTATAGGATTATGAAGCAAGGACCTAGCTGTTTTGTTTGGTTTGGTTTTGTTTTTTTGAGATGGAGTCTCTCTCTGTTGCCCAGGCTGGACTGCGGTGGCTTGATCTTGGCTCACTACAACCTCCATCTCCCAGATTCAAGCAGTCTCATGCCTCAGCCTCCCGAATAGCTGGAACTATAGGCATGTAAAACCACACCTGGCTAAGCTTTGTATTTTTAGTAGAGACAGGGTTTCACCATGTTGGCTAGGCTGGTCTCCAACTCCTGACCTCAAGTGATCTGCCCGCCTCGGCCTCCCAAAGTGCTGGGATTACAGGCATGAACCACCGCTGCTGGCCAAGGATCTAGCTGTTTTATTGGAGGATCTCAAATATCAGTGTCTGTAGAATTTCTCCAGAGGTCTTCCATTCTCTGGCTAGAGAACAGGGAAGTATAATGTGTCTAGCTACCAATTTTCTAGAAACTGAGCAAGGAAAAAGGCCTAGGAATTTTGCCTAACTATGAAGATAAAGGTATCTAGAATCTTTCCTATGGCCTATAAAAGCCTGCATAATCTAGTTTCTAATTGGTTTCTTTTCTGGGGAAATTTACAAGAATAAGATTGGGGGACTGAGCTACAGCTCCCAGTGCTACATCTGGCCTTGAGGCTGCAACTAAGACTCATCTTCTCCCGCCTCTGCTACCCATCCAGATTCCCTTCACCCCCATCTGCCACTTTTGCTTGTCTAGACAGGGTGGCCCAGACTCTCATCTTGGAGGAATCTGGAGGACCCTAGCCACCACATTTGTCCAGTTACCATCAAAATTGGGCAAAGGGTACTAAGAGATGTGTATCAGCACCCCCAGCTCCTGATGACCAGGGCCTATTGCTCCTGCCAGTGACTCATTGCCTTATCTGCTGGACTTTTGGCATGGGATTCTGAATTGATTGGGTTGCAGTCGTAGCTTAAAGTTAATGGGATGCTTACTGTGTCCTCTGGTAGAAGCATTCCTTCTCTGGGAACTGGGATCTCTAGACCCACAGCCCTAGAGTTGTGGTGATAGAAAGCACAGTGTTCCTGAGTGGGTTCCTGGGAATGATTGTAAACAAGATCATTTTTCCTTCTACCCTTGGTCCCCAGGCCCATGTCTTCTGCCAATTGGGAATATAGTACTGTGTAATGGTGATTGATTCGGGGTGTGTAGCACAGCCCATGGTCGCAGGACAGTGTCTTCAATCTGTGCCTCTGCTGTTCCTTGATGGCTCTTTCATAGTTTTCCAACA